AATACATTTTTTAAATAAATAAATAATCCGGATTAGAAGCAGTTAGATCATTTATAACTGTCCTTCTTCCTCCTGGCCGCCAGGGGGCGGTACGCAGCGCGAGGCTGCGTCACTCTGTGACGACGCGTCACTACGTCATGAAAACAGGGCGCGTGTGCGCTGGCGGCAGGTTTAAAGAGTCTGAGTTTGGAGCGCAGTGAGAAACTTCAGGGTGAAATCCGGGATTTAACGGCGGGATTATCGGATTACTGAGGACAGGCGGGATGTCGGAGGACAGGTAGGAAACTCAGGTTTGATTTCACCTTTCTGACGTTTTTCCGCCACTTTATTCTGGAGGGAACAGCGCGGACTGATGAACCGGTCAGATTAACTAATCTACGGGATGAAGTGAGTTGGTCAGCTTCTCTGTCTGATTCTGAATATATTATTATAATCTGATCTGTTTTTATCCATAATCTGACTTTATTCGTGTTAAATGGCGCCGTTTCCTCCTGATCCAGTTTATCAGCGGCTCTTTGTCTCATTCCAGCCGTTTAACCCCAGATTACCCAGATTACACCAGTTAAACCAGTTAAACCAGTATGAACTGGTGAGGCTTCCTCCCGGTTATCAGCACCAACATGGCGGACAGCCGCCGCCGGAGCCTCAGCGGTCTGGACCTTCCCAGGTGTGCTGTTCTGACCTGTGACCTATGACCTGTGCCTGCAGCCTTCCCCTGCAGGAGCTCTCCTGCCAGAAGCGGTTCGGCATCAAGCGGAAGAGCCTCGGTTCCGAGTCCACTCCGACCGACCTGGTGCTGCTGCGCTCCCCGCGGCCCAAGCAGCCCTGGCCGGCCTGCCTGGGGAAGGAGAACCAGGAGGGCCGGTTCGTCCTGGCCCGGAGGTCCCGGAGGAGGCGGCGGTCCGGCTCAGGTGGGGACCCGGCCCGGTTCTGGTTCCGTAGGGTGGTCCAGGTGTGACTCCAGCTGTTTCCCTGCAGGTGTTTCCTGGGATCACCTGCCGGACGAGCTGCTGCTGCGGATCTGCGGCTGCCTCCCGCTGCCGGACCTGCTGCGGGTTTCTGCGGTTTGCCGCCGCTGGCGCCGCCTGGCGTGAGTCCCGAACCGGTTCTGATGGGTCCCAACTCACTACCAGTTCATTATTCAATTTACAGTCATTTTTATGATCATTTCAATTTCTGCTGAAATGATCAGTTATTGAAACAATCAAGTAATCGATTAATCGCTAACTGGCCTCTTCAGGCAGTGATCGGCGCATATCGTATAGATCTGTTCTACCAGAACCGCTCCGGTCCAGTTTTAGCTTCAGCTGCTTCACATTCTGGAAAATCTCCAATCAGTCACTTTTCCATCCAACTGATCAATAATCAGCCACCTGATCAGCGTCAGGCAATAAAACGTTTAGTTTTATTTAAATAGATTTTATTTTCATATTTTAATGCATTTCTATTGTTTATAATTATTTTAAATGTTTGATGAAAAATCTGCAGAATGTGATTTTTTTTCTGTCTTTTATCCAATCAATCGTCAGAATAATCGATTATTAGAATCGAGTTAAAGCTTGTTGAGTTTGTTGGCTTTTAATTTGAAAGTCTCTTTTTTCCCAGTATTCCCAGTAACAGAGCGGCGCTCCGCATCGTTAAATTATGAACAGATGTTTGTTTAGGTCTGGAACCTGTTAAAGGAACCCAACTAGGTCCGGTTCTGGTTCTGGTTCTGCAGGCTGGACGAGTCCCTGTGGGTCAGTGTGGACCTGGAGGGCCTGACCCAAACAGGCCCGGCTCTGCGTTTGGTTCTGAGGACCGGGGTCCAGAGGCTGCGCTGCCCGCGGGCGTTTGTTGAGGAACTGGACCTCTCAGAACCCGGGTGAGTCCAGAACTTCCTCCTGGTTCTGCTCTAGCAGAAGGTGGTCCGGTAAGGCCCGGTTCGTGGTTCTGCTCTGGGTTCTTAATGAACCCAAAGATTCAATAATAAGATCTGAAAAGTGCGGTGTGCCTTTAAACCCTGCACTCAGCTGGGGTCAGGTCTGGACTTTGACTGGGCCATTCTAACCCATAATGCTGTATGTTCAGGCTGGTGACCTTTAACCCCAGGCTCAGCACCACACTGCCCTGTGAGGAACCAGAACATCTGGACCGCCGGGTCCAGTCCAGTTTATTTAGCGGTTTCAGAGTAAAGGGGTTGGATGTAAAAGCAGGCCGCACCTTTCAGATTTGTTCCAGTGGATGCTGAATGTTTCCGTGGTTGGAGCTGTGCAGCTGGTGACTCCTGGTTCTGGTTCTGGTTCTGCAGGCGGCTCCAGCTGGTGGATCTGGACCTGTCCGGTTCCGTGGTTTCCCCCTCGGCGCTGCGCAGCGTCGTCTGCCGCTGCAGCCGGCTGCGCCGCCTCAGCCTGGAGGCGCTGCCGCTGTCTGATGACGTGCTCAGGTAACCGGGCCGGAGCCGTGGGCCGGGCTGGGCCGGGCAGGTAGGACTGGTTCTGACGGTTCTGTTTGTCCGCTCTGCAGCTGCCTGGCCCAGAACCCGGACCTGCTGCAGCTCAACCTGGGCGGCTGCTCCGGATTCTCCGCCGCCGCTCTGGCTGCCATGCTGGACTCCTGCCGCAGGTCAGAACCGGCTCGGCTCGGTCCGACCCGGACCGGTCCCGGTTCTGATCCGCTCTGCGTTCCGCCTCAGGTTGGAGCAGCTCAACATCTCCTGGTGCAGCTTCAGCAGGAACCACGTCCAGAACCTGGTGGAGACGCTGAGCCCCTCCGTCACACACCTGAACCTGAGCGGCTACCGGGACAGCCTGGCGCTGGACGGTGAGGAGCCAGAACCGGGCCAGAACCCCTGCTCTAGACGCTCTGCAGGGTTTAACTGAACCTGGGCTGACGGTTTATCTGCTTTGTGATTCAGTTCTTCGACAAATCGCCTGTCTGATGAACAGTTCTGTTTCGGGTGAACAGTTCTTCTGTCCCACTGAATCAGTTCCCGTTTGTTGCAGATGTGAAGGTTCTGGTGGACCGATGTCCGGACCTGCAGACGTTGGATCTCAGGTGAGAGCGGTGGGCGTGGCTTCCTGCTGCCGTGTGGCCGGCGGCGGTACTGCAGCGGTTCTAGTTCTGGTTCTGACGGTCTCTCTGGTTGCAGCGACAGCACGCTGCTGACGGCCGACAGCTTCCTGGTCCTGAAGCGGCTGAAGAAGCTGCTCCACCTGTCGCTGAGCCGCTGCTACCACATCCACCTGGCGGCGCTGTGGTGAGTCACCGCGGCCTAGTCAAAGTCTACACCCACTTCCTGGTTCTGACTCAGTGGGGATGGATTTAATGGCAGGCCACACTTTTCAGATCTAACTGGTAGAATCAGGTAAAGTTTCTGATCCGACCCGGCTGATGAGTTTGGACCGGAACCAGATGGAGCTTCCAAAGGTTCTGGACGTCATAGAATAGCTTAGTTGTCAGCTGGTGTTCTGGCTCTGACCCGGTTCTGGTTCTGTCCCCAGTGACCTCGGGAAGGCGATCCCGTCGCTGCGGTTCCTGGACGTGTTCGGTCTGGTCCAGGACGGCCAGCTGGCGGCGCTGCAGGACGACTCGCCGCGGCTCGCCATCAACGCCCGGCCGTTCTCCGCCGTGGCCCGGCCCACTCCGGCCGGCGCCGCCCAGCCCGACCGCACCATGTGGGGCCGCGGCTGCAGACTGAAGGTCCGGTTCTGACCGGAGCGGCGGGTTCCTGGTTCTGTTCAGTGTTCCTGGTACCGGGGGCCAGACGATGGACTCGGCCTCCTGTTGGGCGACCCGGCTGCTGTTGGACTCTGCCGGTTCTGATGACATTAAAGTTCTGGACTGTCTGCTGTAATAATGACTCAACGCTGGAATCACCGAACGATTTTAATGGAAGAGGAGGTTCTGGTTCCGACGGGTCCAAAGACGACCTGAATCATTTCCAATCAAAACCGGGAGATTAAACACGGATCCGTTCGGTTCCGATCCAGTTTTATACTTGAAAATGTTGACTGATTTTGTCTGAATCGTGTTTGTATTAAACTCTGGAAGCTGTTTGGGTCTGAGTGTGATGTCATTTCCTGGTCTGAGTGATGTCATTTCCTGGTGGGAAACCGCAGGCGGCCGACTCCTGGACCGGTCCGGAGGACGAAGTCGGTCAAAAATTAATCCAATAATCTGGATTATTTAGACATTAAAAGGGAAAAATGAGTCACTGTTATTCATTTATGATTTCAAACTAAATATTTAATTTACCAACTAAATATGGAGCTAAATATTTAACATCTAGTTTGCTAAGCAGTTTTGAAACTAAAATGTTTAGCTAGAAAGCTAAATATTCAGAACATACTTAGCTTGCTAATTAGAAACTAAATATTATTGGCAAATTGAATATTGAGCTCCATATTTACTTTGAAAATCATTTTATCTATCTTGGAACTGAAATATTAAGGTTCAAAATAGTTAGCAATATATTTATCTGGCTAACTAGCTTGAAGCTTCATACTTGGCTTCTCAGCTAAATATTAAGTTTTCTAGCTACACATTTAGCTTCCAAAATTAGTTTATCAACACATTTAGTTTCCAAACTATTAAGGCTAAATGTTTGTAGTTAAATATTTATTCAAATTTTGCTCACAAACTTTTTGGAGCTAAATATTTTTCCCACTAATTTGTTCAAAGTTTAATATTTCGCTTCTGTACTCGGATAGCTAACAAATCGTTTGAAGCTAAACATTTATCTTGCTAACTTAATATTTAACTTCCTGAATACTTTAAACGTTTAACTGGTTATTTAATTTGAAGCTGTGACATGCATGAGTAACATGGTTCCAGATTTCTTACTTTAGCTGAGCCATCCGGGTCCGGTACCGGTATCCTTCATGTTTCACTCTCCAGGTTCGACCCGCTCCGGTAATTGGACCATTTGAATCAGCTGTGATGGAGCAGCGGCGCGTCTGAAACTTTTATTTTATCGTAATAAAACAGGAAACAAGCGACAGGGAAAATGATTTGAAATACTTTTTCACATCTATTCGATCCGGTGGATCGATCCAGTTCGTCAGAACCAGATGATTTATGAACCGGATCCGCAGTTCGGAATAAAGCGCCACAGCCCAGGTTGATTCGGCCATATTGGTTTATTAGAAAAGTCACTTCCAGTGAGGCGGACATGTTTAACCGGACCGGTTCCGTTCAGGTCACAGAAAGCCAGTTACTCTAGAAAAGCTGATGAACTGAACTTCTTGGCAGAGTTTCGTTCCAGATTTACTTCAGGATCAAATCAGATTAGTAATAAATGAGTTCAGAACCAGAACCAGTCTCCAGATTTGGGTTTTTTATTTAAAACAGACAAAAAAAGGATTTCATGTGTTGGGAGAAGCGGGTCGAGCCGGAACCGACCCAACTGGCTTTCTGAGCGGAAACATGTAGAGACTGAGGAACGAGCTGGTGCTTGATGGGAGAGCCCCCACCACCCATACAATATACATTTATATATATAGAAAAGTGGCTAAAGATGCTAGGATGAGACGTTCTCACGGCACCATGGCTTATTAGCAGAAACACAACAGAACCGCCATCTGGACCAACTAACGGACGCGTCTTTAATCTACAGGAAATGACGTGCAGAATGCTACAAAGTTATCGTTGTTTTCATCTGGTGCGTCCGGAGACCGATGACGGGACGGTCCGGCGCCGTCCCCTGGGCCTGACGCCGGGCCGGCGCCGCGCCGACGGGTCGACGACACACAGGAGGAAAATATTAGAAACAAAAAAAATATTTTACAAACCCCCCCACCCCCTTCCCACAGACGGGTCACAGTGGGAGGACGGCGCCGAGGCGCTTCAGTCGTCCTCACCGTCGTCCTGCAGAGACAGAGGGACAGAGACACCAGGTTAGGTCCAGCAGAACCGGGTCAGAACAGAACCAGACTCCAAACAGGTTGAAACCGGTTCATGCTCTCACTAACTGTTAAGACCAGAATCAGATCAATAATCTGAGCGGACTGCTTTAATCCAGAACGTTAAAGCGTGTTGCCATAGCAACACGTTCAGCTGGTCTCCTCCAACCACAGATCAGTTCAGTCTCCATAGCAACGGTGTTCTGGTTGCCACCGTCGCCTCATGCTTGCTCTGGAGGGCCATCAGCAGCCTGCTTAAGGAAACATCGTTTACAGTAACCATAGCGACCAGCTGCAGCTCTCTCACCTCTCCATCTTCCCCTTCGCCATCCTCGTCTTCGCCTTCCTCTTCCTCGCCCTCATCGATGTCCTCCAGACCTTCCTCATCCTCCTCTTCATCGTCCTCACCCTCCTCATCCTCCATGTCAGGGACCTGGGGGCGTCCAGACAGTCAGCGAACCTCCCGGTAGCGCCCCCCCCGCCCCAGCGGCGCCCCCTGCACCTACCAGGTAGTACTGCAGCGGGTTGGGCCAGATGTCGTCCTTGATGACCTCTCCCAGCTCGTCGGCGCCGGCGTCCGAGTGGTCGGTGAACCAGGTGAAGAAGCTCTCCGGCTCCTCGTGCTGACGCTTCTTCCCAGCTTTGTTCGGCGTCTGGCCGCTCCGTTTGGTCAGGTCCTGCAGAGCCCAGAGGTCAAAGGTCAATGGTCACATGTCAGCAATGATTGTCATCCCAACCACACCAGATCAACAAGCGCCGACTGCCCCCAGATTCAGCCAATCCTGATGGGGGGCAGCCTGTTCCGATGGGCTACCCATCGGAATAGGCTGCCCATCCCCCCAAAGGATAACCCGATACGGGGTTAAAGAGATAACCCGATACTGGTTAAAGAGATTACCCGATACGTGGTTAAAGAGATAACCCGATACTGGTTAAAGAGATTACCCGATACGTGGTTAAAGAGATTACCCGATACTGGTTAAAGAGATAACCCGATACGTGGTTAAAGAGATAACCCGATACGGGTTAAAGAGATAACCCGATACGGGTTAAAGAGATAACCCGATACGGGTTAAAGAGATAACCCGATACGGGTTAAAGAGATAACCCGATACAGGGTTTGTAAACTTTTCCTACAGCAAAATTTAAGCACTAAGAATTTTCAAGCTAAATTCTTGAAACTTTCAGCACGCGACTTTGCAATTACAAATGAACTAAAAGAAGATTCTCTATTTCAATTCTGTTATTAATAAAGTTTTGTGATGGTGTCCTACAGTAAAATATAAATATACAATAAATATTAGTTACATTGAAACAATTGTTAACACAAATGACCTTCCTGATCAATTTAAATGCTGAAACACAACATACAGTTGAAACTACATATTTGCTTAAAACTTATAAAGAGATTTTTTTTCTGACCAAAGGTCTTTTGTTTCAGGTTAGTCAGGATTATTAAAATGATTTCTTCTTGCTGAATTGCAGTAAAAATCTTTTCCAGATCGTACGGAGCAAACGCACCTTCCCAGCTTTCCATTTGATCTCAGTGGATTTGGAAACCGGATCTCCGCCCTCGTTGACGTTAAACTCTTTGGAGAGAACTTTGTTCTCGAAGTACGGATTCTCGTCAAAGGACTGCAGGGACACAGAGGAGAACGGGTGGATCAGAAAACATCGTCAGCTTCAGAACAAACCGACAGAATCAATCAGACTCACAAAATCTATTCTGTATCCAGACTTGATGTCCTCGAACTCTGTGACCTCAACCTTGGACAGATAATGAAGAGCTTCTTCATCTTCCTCCCCCAGAAGAGCTGAAACTACAGCAGCAGTCAGAGCAGGAGTTTTTATTTGTTCATGACAGGAACCAGAACCAAAACCGGATCCGGCTGTTTACCTTGTGGATGGTTGACGAATGTTGTGACCCAAAAGTTTGGGATTTTGGCGATGAGCTCTGATCTCTTCTGAAAGAACGGCTGGCGTAATTTGTTGTACTTCTGCTCTACTTTTAAAATTTCTTCACTGGCCTGTTCATTTAATCTAGAAAACAATCAGCGTGTCAGAACAGTAAACGGTTTCCATGACGACGCGTCAGGCTCAAACTCACCTGTCGATTTCGTTCTGTACTTCATCAATGTGTTCGATCGCCTCCTGCTGCTCTTTCTCTGAAACACAAAGCATCAAGATTCAGGAAATAATATTCCAGTAAAATACGAGAAATTAATTTAAGATCTAAATTATTATGGTTTAAAATAAAAATAAAAAAAACATTTTGGAAATGTTGACAGGCGATCTTATAAACATCCTCAGTCTGTTAGCGTTCATACTGCCAAAAATCTACTTGATGAATTTCTAAACTCCCTTCATGAGTTAAATATTAAACATGAACAATATTTTCTAAATAAAAGAAACAGTTTTCATTTCAGAGTATTTGAGCTTTACTGCAGTTTCAGATCCAGGATTGGAAAATTATTGGGCAGCAGCAAGAAACACAAAACACTCAACATAATGAAATAAACGTAAACTTCTATACAATAAAATAGAAGTATAATCTAAAAAGCGCTGCTGCGCTCCTTCAGGCAGACCGCTGCATCCTGGGTGCACAAAGCAGCGTGAACACAGATCCTTCACACTCAGCTGATGTTTACATCCCAACTGGTGTTTGCAGTTTTATGTTTAATTACTGCAAATAGATTTTTTAATGCGTGAACACATTTATATAAAATGATTCTACTCTCCACATTTCTATGCTTATGTTTAATATCTGTCCAGCATTTTATGCTGTAATCTTGCCCTTGTTGCTCTTTGTTTTTATATATTTTTTATCTTTGTGACTCTACATGTTCGTATCTCCGGACCCTCTGGAGGACAGGAATCAGGACGCGGGGTTTCCGCCCCAGGGCTCCCAGATCCGGGTCGTGTTTTCCTGGAGGCATTCCCTCCTCGCTGGGGGTTTTCCACGCTGCAGATCGTGGGTTCCCCCCGCAGACGGCCCCTCCACCCCCCTCCTTCCTGTTGCCGTTTAAGGCGGCCTGGTTTGAATGAAAAACGGGCTCCGGCTCTGCTGTGAAAACCCTCAGCTCAGCCAGCGCCTCCTTCTGCCGCCTCACTCTTAATAAAAGCTCACACTGAACCAAACTCGGTGAATTAGCCCGATCTGGTTATTTAAACAGCTTTTAGGAGCCAAACTGAGAAATGCTGGCCTGCTTTATTGTAAACTAACGGCTACAGGCTAGCAGAAGCTAGTAGAAGCTAACGGAGGCTAACGCGGCTAGTTAGCTGCAGCTGCATCACTAAATATCTCAACTTGTTGATCGAACTGAGGCTGTTTCTGGAAACCAGGCGCTTTAATTCCCAGGATGTGACTAACAGGAGTCCATCAGCGGAACCCGAGGCCGTGAGGACGGCATAATGACGGTAAACAGCTGAAAATGGCGCTGAGAGGAGAACCGTTATTACCGGAGGTCTCGTCCCCTGCGTCGTGGTTTGAATTCTCCTTCCTGCTCACTTTAGCCGCTGAGGCCGACATGCTGCCGCTTCTCCGACGCTCTGTAGACCTGAAGTTCCTCCCGGCGGGTTAAATCTCAGCTCCTGACGACAAAAGTTACTTCACCTCACAAACAACAGTCCGCCAGCAGCGCCACGATGGGAACAAACCGACCCGCCTCCGTCAACACATTTATGGCTCTCTGCTGCCCCCGGTGGCCCGGAGGGATGTGGACGCCACGGGAACTGCATGAAATGATCGGGATCAGACTGACTTCAGTCACTCAGCTTTCAGACATGAAGCATAAATATCAACTCTACAGGAAATAAAATGAAGGAAAAAAGAACATTATGTACATAGTATGAGAATGTAGGTCAGAATAGGCAGAATATAAATGTTATTAGAGGGGAAAGTCAGCATCAGATTCACACAAAAAAGATCCAAAAATGTTAAATATATACAAAAAGTAAACAACTTCAACAGTAATAATAGTATTTCTTTTCTAATAACTGTGCAGTATTTTTATGAGATAATTTTGTACAGTATATCAGACTCACTAATGAATGTCCAACTTTGTAAAATAATCAGATGTGTTTTTATTTCTTTAGTCCTCTGCAAACGATCCAGTAAAACAAAATGTCTGCCTTTATTTCAGGATGTTTCCTGTGGAAATGCTAAGAATCCATCTGTGACAGAAAGAAATGTATGATTTTAAAAAAAACCTTCAACTTGCCCATTTTACCTTTTCCAGTTGAAACCTGAGCGATGCTTTGAGTTTCACTGAAGGAAACGATAAACTAACCAAGTTATTGATCAGGATATTTGAATCAGAATCATGGTTGGAACTAACCTGGTTTTCTCAACCAGTCCAGTAACTAGTCCCAGCAGGTCTCTGAACAGTCTGTGTCCAGCATGTGTGCGGTCTATTCGCTGCTGTTTCCCTGACCTTTGACCTTACTATTATAATTTCCTCTTTAGTTTGTTTCTGGTCAGACTGAAGGAGGAAGTGACCAGCAGCTGAGCTCGTCTTCAGCATCCGGCTGCGGCGGCAGGAAGTGATGTCATTATTTTAACAGCAGAGACTGATTTCTGTTTCTTTCAGTTTTCTGCTCAGGTGACGCTGCTGTGACGTCATGTGACCCGGTCACGGTCCGGTGTGGGTCAGAGGATGGTTCCGTCCTGAACTGTTGACCGGAAATTACGTTCCTCCGACTCCTAACCCGCTCTACGTGTTTGGGCCGACCTGCTGAGTGACTCAGTGCCGTGATGAAAGCTCGCAGGGAGGAGGAGGCTGGAATGCCTCACCTGTACAGGTGCACCCGGCGCTGCGATCTGATTGGCTGCAGGTGCATCGATGTGCCCTCGCGCGGCCAATCAGCGCGCCGTGACGTCAGCGCGGATTCAAAGGATCGCTCAGATTTGTTTCCATCGGTGATTGAGGAAGAAGCCGCGGCCTCAGCTCACCTGAGCAGGTTGATCAGTCCGAGCGTCCGTCCGCGCACCTGGCCGCCATGTCAGCCCCGACGCCTCAGGTGAGTCCGGCTCCCTTCCTGCAGACCCGGACCGGTTCTGGGGCCCATCAGAACCGGTCCGGGTCACCGAGGTTCTGGCTGGAATTACAGAGCTGCTGCTGCGGATTTACCTGTTGGTCCAGTTTGTCTCCTCCTCACCTGGCTTTGTCTTCCTGACACAAACACCTGAGACAATCACTGCAGAACGACTTCCGGCTGCTCGGAACCAGCTGGACCGGAACCGGTTGAAGGTCCGGACTGGACTGGTTCTCAGTCTGGCTCATGAAACCAGCAGAATATTTCTGTCTTGTTTTTATTCATATCTGATCGTTTTGTTTCTTCAGAACCAACAAAACAAACAGAAGTTCGTTTCACTAACTTTGATTTTTCTGGATTCAGTCTGAATATGAATCCATCTATGATCTGAGGCTGTTTTGATTCTGAAATCATGAAGAGAGGCGTATTTAAGCATGTTGGTAGAAAGTTTAGTGGAAGGAAGATGTTTGCGGTAGAAAAATGAAATCCACATTCAGTAAGTCGATGTGATTAATGACTCGTCATCTTTAGTGGTTCATCTCTGAGCTTTTATCCCCAGGGATGTGTTCTTGGTCCCATCCTGTTCCTATTGGACCAGAGGGTCAAAGGTCATCTGCAAAGTTCCAGGAGACGGTTTCCAATCTGTTCTTAATGGTCTAGTCAAAGTATCTGAGGAGAAATCCGTTTCTGTAGTCTCTCTCTCTCTCAGTGGTCCAGGTTGGGTTCAGATCAGGTTTCTGATCTGAGTGGATTCTGGTAAAGCAGCTGCAGTCCAGCAGGAAGTGACCCGGTCTCCGCCGCTGTGTGTTTCCTGTCAGGATGGGAAGCAGCAGCAGCAGCAGCAGCGGCGGCTGGACATTCTGGACCCGCAGGTCCAGCAGCGGCTGGAGAACGCCCGGGCTCAGGTCCGGCAGGAGATCCAGCTGGAGCTGAAGATCAAGGAGGCGGCGGAGAGGATGCGGCGGGCGTACCCGAGCCGGCGGGGCGGCGCCGTGGACGGCGAGGTGAAGGCGTCCAGCCGCAAGCTGGAGCAGCTCCACCTGCAGCTGCAGGAGCTCAATGCCATCTCCATGGCAACGGAGAAGGACAACCACGCAGGTAAAACGTTACAGCAGCTGTAGACCTTCTGGAGCCGCTCTGTCCAAATACAGCAGAATAATTCAAGTATGGGATCCATTTTCCAGCTTAACTTTCAGGATTTTTCCTGACAATGTTTATCAGATGCTAATGCTAACGTGCTACAAGCCCTGAGCTCGACTTTACTTTTGACGTTATGCTGACTCAGCGACTGATCCTCTCTCCTGAATCCTTATTGGTTAATTTGGGCTCCGCCTCCTCTCCGGGCCCCATGTAAGGCGGGAATCACCAACCAGGAGATTACAATTTTAAATAAGTTTGTTGACTCTGTTTTCTGTGCGTTTCGAAGCGACTGTCCCAGAGGAGGAAGAGAACCAATCATCAGAGCCGAGTCAGTGGGAGGAAGTGACATCACCGCTGGCCAGCCGCATCAGAACTCTGAAGAAACAGCTGACGATGGAGACCAAAGTGAAGCAGGGCGCCGAGAACATGATCCAGACCTACAGCAGCAGGTCCTTCAAGGTGAGACCCACTTCCTGTCTCCTTCAAAATAAAGCACAGTCGCCTCAACCCTGACCAGGTCCGAGGGGATCAGAACCTTGACCCGGTCCGGTTTGTGTTCCAGGACCGGAAGATGCTGGCCATGGCCCAGCAGATGCTCCAGGACAGCCGGACCAAAATCGAGCTGCTGAGGATGCAGATCGTTAAAGTCGGCCAGGCCCGGGAGGAGGGCGCTTCTCTCGGTAACCGAACGGAGCGGTTCTGTCCTGGACCGGGCCCGGTCCTGGTCCGTCCGGCTCTGAGCCATCCCTCTGTCCCAGGTCCTGACGAGGAGATCATCAGCCCGGTGGAGCTGCGCGTCGCTGAGCTGCTGCATCGCATGAAGATCGAGTCGGCCGTCGCCGAAGGAGCCAAGAACGTGGCGAAGCTGGTGGACCGGAAGGAGCGGCGGGTTCTGACCGAGGTACCGGCCCGATTGGGTCAGGGATTCTGGCTGCCATCGGGATCCCTTCCTGCATGTTGTGCTGCTTTTAGAAAGACGGCAGAATATTGATCATATTTTCTGATCATAACCGGATGAAATACAACTTTTGCTATCACACTGTGGTGATCAGCTTTAACGGCCTATTCCAAGTCTGACTGCAGTGGAATGTGTGTAAATCAAGGCTTAAGAGACACAATTTAATAAACATATCATTAAATAAATTAACACATTCAGAAATGCAGACATTAAATTCATAAATACAGTTATAATTACATGTGGAAGTTGTTTAATTGTAATGTGTCGGTGTACCTGCAAATATTTAACTATTTTAAGAACTGGTGGGCGGGGCTAACACTGTTTACTCGTCGGTGGGCGGGGCTAACACTGTTTACTCGTCGGTGGGCGGGGCTAACTGTTTACTCGTCGGTGGGCGGGGCTAACACTGTTTACTCGTCGGTGGGCGGGGCTAACTGTTTACTCGTCGGTGGGCGGGGCTAACACTGTTGGGGAAGATAATTGGTCAGCAGTTTTTCATGACGGTTGTTGAGCAGGAAGGAGGAAAAACTTCACCTTTTGTCATAAATGTAGATTTTCTGAGTGTCGCTATTTAGTTCATTTCCATTTTGTTTTCATAGCACTCTTTAAAATGATGCAAATATACAAAAATAATACAGGTTCTGTCCTTGGATCATTGATCATGATCAGTTCTCCTGATGGGTTCTGCCCCTCCAGGCCCAGGCCCGGGTCCAGGAGTCGTCCCAGAAGGTGGACCTCCTGCGTCTGTCCCTGGAGCGGCGGCTCGCCGAGCTTCCTGAGAATCATCCCATGCGAGCCGCCATCATGGAGTCTCTGGAGTCGGGAGTCGCTCCGTCCTACGGAACGCCGAAGAAACAGTCCGCTGCTCCTTCGTCTTCCTCGTCCTCCTCCTCTTCCTCCTTCTTCAGACCGGCCAGTCTAACAGGTCCAGTACTTTCATAACCCAGAAACATCCTGGAGGATCCTCTGGACTCATGATTTCCTGTTTGGTGATTATTTCCTGCTCTCGCTCCCAGATGTCGCTCGGCTCTCACTCGGTAACCTCTTGATTCCCGACAGAGCCGATCTCCTCCTGCCCGTTTCTCAGGTGTAAATTTTCCAGGTTGAGTCCTGAACCTCCTTGGTGTTTGGGTCAAACCTCAGGGAACTGAAACCACTTCCTCCTGCTGCCTGAAGTCCAGAAATGCATGAATGTTTCTAGATAAGATCTTGAGACGTGGGGCCTAACTCTGAGTGGAAGATGATCAAAGTCCCTCCTGAATATCAGTTTTATTATGTCCAGAAGAATCGGCCGTGGACTGACCCAACGTCTGACTGTCGCCCTGCAGGCCGGCTGGAGGTCTGCCTGATGGGCGTCCAGGACCTGCTGGAGGACGTTCCGGGCCGCAGCGCCGCCCAGTTCTCCGGGAACTACGGCGGCGGGAAGTCCATGAAGGTGAAGGGTTCTGGACGGAGCGCCAACGGGAAGACGGGGAAGTCCGACGAACTGTCCTGTAAGGAATCTGCTGTCCTCCTGCGTCTTGGCGGAGAAACGTCGATGTTTCTGATTTAGATTCTGTTGGAGAAAATCCCGTTTAATCCAAACTAAAACCTGATCGATTTTTCTGCCAGGTTTGGTTTGAACCATTGAAATAATTCCTTCATTTCCTGTCCGATCCAAACCACCGCGGCTCGTTTGATCTGAGCAGAACCTTCCAGAACATCCGGATCAGAACTGACCTGGTTTCTCCCTCCTGTCTCTGTTCCAGCGGAGGTCAGCGCCGTGCTGAAGGTCGACAACCGGGTCATGGGCCGGACTCACTGGAGGCCGCAGGGCAAGGAGGCCTGGGGCCAGAACTTCAGTACCGAGCTGGAGCGGGTGAGTACACTGGCGGTTCTGGTTCTGATCCGAAACAGAGAATAATGAACCTTAGAGTCTCCAAACAGAGCTGAAAGTGGCTCCTGCTGTCAACCAGTAGTGATTCTGGTTCTGGTCCAGTCCAGGGAGCTGGAGGTGGCGGTGTACTGGAGGGACTGGCGGGCGCTGAGCGCCGTGAAGTTCCTGCGCCTGGAGGACTTCCTGGACAACCGCAGACACGGCATGTGTTTGGAGCTGGAGCCTCAGGGAATCGTCTTCATCGAGGTTTGGCTGCTTCCCAGTTACACAGAACCAGGGTCGGGTTCTCCTTGCGCTCATCACGTTTAACAGCAGAACCAGCTGATCAGAATCCAGAACCTTCATGATCCAATAACGCTACATCGTCTGCATAGAGTGTAATTCAGCAGCATCTCTTTATGACAGAAATACATGAAACTAATTAAAATGAACGTTGAATAGAAGCTGCAGCGGGTTGGACTGTTGACTCACAGCAAGTAGTTTAACACCTGGTGACCCCTTAGCAGTCCCGCCCCCCGCCTCACCCGTTTTCACCCTGTAGAGATGAACAGCTGCAGACAATGGTTGGACTTTTATCACAGTATGAAATGAATCATGTTGAGTTTTATAACTGAAAGTCTTTAATTTAGGGCCTGAAACTTGATCAGCTCTTCATTTTTATTTGCAGGTGACGTTCAACAATCCCGTCATCGAGCGTCCGTCCAAACTCCAGAGGCAGATGAGGATTTTCCCCAAGGAAAAAGGTGAAAATCACTTTAATAATTATGTTTTCAGGTCATTTTTGTTCAATATATGTGACACAGCGTTCAGAGTGAGCGCCTCGTACAGAGGCTACAGACCTTTACATGGCCCCCCCGCGATCCACC